CCAACCCAATTGGCGCACCGTTAGGTCGATGTACGCACCCATGTATAGCACCACAAAAACCAAGAGACTATATCCCAGGTATAAGGAATGCATCAGTCGTTTGATGGATGAAATGGCAACAAATTGTGGCAAAAAGAGCCTGGATGTCAAAGCACTTTATTTGTCGTTTATGATGGACGTCATAGTAACCACGGTGTTTGACACGCGCACAAACTGTTATGGTACCGGTGCCGCTCATAACCCTTTTATAGCAAATGCCCATGCTTTTATCGGTAGAAGTATTAAGCGTGAATTGGCCCTGAGTATTTTACCAGAAAGGCTACGAAACTGGTTTGGTTGGGAAAATAAATCGCCTGTTAAGTTTTTTATTGAGCGTATACGCGATAAATTAGCTTTATATAATGGTAATATTGATTTAATGCATGAAGGATATTTAAAATGGATTTTTGATGGCGATATGAATAGGAAATCTAGTATTAATACTAATACAAATGAGCATGGTGCTATTCAACAAATGAATATAGGTAAGAATTCAAAATGGTGATAGTTAATCACCATTGCCATCCAATTTATTTAATATTAATGATAATCATTGCAATTCAACTGGTTTATTATTACTTTGCAGATAAATCAATAATTTCAGATATGAACGACTGTAAAGTAGATTTATCCGATACAAACTCACCAGAGAACAAGCTAATTGGTTTAGCCATGTTGAGTTTTGTGGGTGGCTACGATCCAATCGCTAGCACATTAGCATTTTGTTTGTACGAATTGGCACACAATCCTGATGTTCAAGAACATTTATTTCAAGAGATTGAAAATTGTGAACTAGATGATCAAGGTGATGAGACAGAGTTTGAAAGAATAGTAGGATTGGAATATTTGCACGGTATTGTATCGGAAACATTGCGTTTGCACCCACCTGCTCATATACTTAAGAGAATATCCAGTTCCAAATACACATTTGCTAACACAGACCTTACAATTGATGCAGGGCAACTTGTTCATATACCAACTTATGCTATCCATTGTTCCAGCGATATTTATGAAAATCCATTAATTTTTAATCCCGAAAGATTTATGCCCGAGAATGTAGGCAAAATTAGCTCGCATACATATTTGCCATTTGGAGTAGGACCCCTAATATGTCCTGGTAATAAATACGCCCTGGTTATTACTAAGTTGTGTTTGGCGCACGTTATCCGAAAGTATCGATTCGTGCCAATAGCTCAACGTCCAGATGTATCGGTCGACTCCGAAAGTGATATACGGTTTGAGTTTCCGTCAAAAATATTTGTTGGAATTAAGAGACGATTTTAAATGCAATATTTGACATTATGTAATACAATTTATTATCATATTTATTACAATATGTATGGCCTTTAGAGCCGTCCTTTTTAAAGTAAAGTTATTGGGCATACAGTAAGAGAATAGAAATAGATTTATGTAGTTAAGTAAAGCCTCCAGATATTTATTAACCATTAAATAAAATTAACATTAAATATACGTAGTGTGACAGTGTCTCTAATATTTATATTTAAAACATATCAAAAATATAGTATTAATCATTGTGTTAAACATTGATTATTGTATTTATATAATTGAATTTTATTAATAAAGTATCTTGAATAATTTATATTTTACGCATTCAAATGCGTAATTACTCAGTCGACCACTTCATCTCCCGTTCCCACAGTGTCTCTAAACCCGTTCCCATCCACTCGTCCCTAACTTTCTGGTCAATCAAATCGCTCTCATCTCTCGTCATAACATCCCTCCAAAGGCTGACAATGTCTTCGCCGTACTCTTTATACAACACTTCAGTCCCATCGTTGTTGTCCTCAAACTTTGAGGCCTGTATTATGCGATCCATAAGCTTATCATCACTACCGGCGCCGTCATCGCACCGGTTGTACAGTTGGTCCACATATTTGTGTCCCAAGAATGAGGCGATTCTCACAATACTGTCCCTCGGATTCGCTACCATCTCCTCGTATACAATGACCGTACAGTTTGCCCGATACCGGTGCTCCCATAACCTGCGTGTGTGTTCAAAGTAGTCGCCGTACGGCAATACCTTTCCGCTGATCCATATATTAAAGAATTGTGGAAAATCCAGTTCCCCTTTCATGCGGTGAACCCATTGATTATACATTGAAACGCAAACGTCTTTCGGATTTCGCAAAATAATGAGATATTTTGGGCGATAATTGTACGCCAATTGTGTGAACGACAGGTGCGACCACACGAACCCTATTAGCTCAGACTCCAGGCCGGGTAGGCAGCCCATGGCGTCGCCATTTTTCTCCAACATGTGTTTACCGTAGTCTTTTGATTCACGTGGAGGTTGCCTACCGGAGCCCATTATGTAGAGCGCAAAATAGGGGCCCCAAAATGCTCCTGATTTTGGGTACGATAATAGTATGCGATCCCTTTCCCGGGGCTGGTAGTCTAATGCGCTTTCGACAGACTTTGTGTCGGTTTGCTTTAGGAATGGCATACCACGTACTGTTTGAAACATATGATCCAGTTTAATTCTAGTATTTTAATTTTAAAAATTTTAAATAGTATAGTAGTTCCCGGGCAATATTTTATGCATTTAAATGTATAGTTACTCAGTCGACCACTTCATCTCCCGCTCCCACAGTGACTCTAATCCCGTTCCCATCCACTCGTCCCTAACCCTCTGGTCAATCAAATCGCTCTCATCTCTGGACATAACAGCCCTCCAGTCGTGGACCACGTCTTCCATGTATTTCTTATACATTATCTCATCCGTGGTTTCCTTGTCCTCAAACTTCGACTCCTGTAATAAGTGATCTAATAGTGTACTACCGGTGCTCTCATTTGCACTACAAATCAGTCGTTCCTCATATTTCGGTCCCAAAAATGAGGCGATTCTCACAATACTGTCCCTCGGATTTGCTAACATCTCCTCATATGTAATGACAGTACAGTTGCCATCCATCCGGTGCTTCCAATACGAGCGCATTGACTGAAAGTAGTCTCCGTATGGCATACCTTCTCCTCTGACCCACAACTGGAAGTACTGATGAAAGTCGAGGTCCTTTGCCATCCGTTTAATCATTTTATTGTAGAGCGAAACGCAAACGTCTTTCGGGTTTCGCAAAACTATCAGATATTTTGGGACCAAATTGTACGCTAATTGCGTGAACGACAGGTGCGACCACACGAACGAACACCGTTCCGACTCGAGCTCCGGTAGGCATCCCATGGCGTCACCATTTTTCTCCAACATGTGCCTACCGTAGAGCTTCGGGTCGGCAGTGGCTAACCTACCGTTGCTCATGATGTACAGTATGTAGTACGAGGCCAACCACGTCCCACATTTGGGGTACGATAGGAATATGCGATCTCTTTCCCGGGGCTGGTAGTTGAGCGCATTTTCCACTGATTTTGGGTCAGTTTGTTTTAAATAATATATACCTCGCACCTTACGAAATAAATCATCAGGGTTATATGAAGCAGACATTTTAGTATTAAGGTGAATCAACTAAATATAGTATATGAGAGATGTAATATAATATTATTGTTGTATTAAAACTGACAAGTTTTAGTCGGACAGTGTATATATTAATAATACAACTGACGCACAAAATTACCATGAATATTCTCTAATTATTGAAAATATTAAAAACAATTACTTTAAAAGTAAATGAAAACACTGCATTATATCTGGTGTTATAAATAAAATCCAACATTTTGTAATTCATATTATATTTTATTATTCATAAGTTAATTATATATAAATATTATAAGAGATATTTATTTGCTAAGCACTCAAAAATGTTAGGTTTAATTTGCGACACCATATATTTTGTTTTGCATGTTTAGTTAAGATTTAAAAATAAGATGATTGGCAAAAAATAATATCCTGGAGTTGTTTTCAGTAACTGTTTCTATGCGTATAAAGTTTTGAATAACAATTGAATGCTAAATTAATTTTAAGTTATATTTTTATGATTTTAAAAATAGTTTTTAAAATGAAATTTGCATTATATTTAACGTTATCAGTAGTTTTAATTTTAATTATACATAGTGTGGCCGCACCTACGCTAAATATTCTGACCCAGGCACACATTTATTCAATTGAAATTTTTACTTTGTTCGCTGACCCAGGTACTAGTGATGAATGCCAAAAAGTTAGTAAATATTTGGTTAAACAACTAACCGATACTAAAATGGACCAGATTACCGACGATTCCCCATTAAGATGTAATTATTTCAAACATTTTAAATTCCTAAATTATATATACTGTATATTACTGTACTCTGTACTGGTCAATGAAACAATATCACGTAACAAAAACACTTTAAAAATAAGCAATCATATTAACTCATATTTATTTAAATTGCTTTAATGTTTTAAGTGTTGGACACATCGGCAGTTATCGGACCTGGTATATTGAAAGGTAACGTTAATTTCATGGGTGACTTTGATAATTGCATCGAGATCACTATTCCGAAAAGTGAATTCCTTACTAATAGCACTGTTGGACAATATTGCTCATTTAATATACCCATGTCTGAACTGGTTGGAAATGTATGTATAGTATAGAATTTACCAATATATTAATAAATGTTTAATATTTATAAACACACAATAGTAATAGGAATAATATGGTATACTGTATATTTACAACCTTGATTAATTTTCAGTACAAATTGGGGAATGACTTAAAACATCTAAAGGCATCGATAGGACTATGCATTCCGAGTGTATGTAATAAAAGTGATATCAATCTAATGCTTCAAAAATGTAAGATTTAAGAGTAAATAAATTAATAAACGCAAATTAATTAATATATTATATTATCAAGATTCATCGATGCGAAATGATAGTTTCAAACTAATTAATTGCGATGATAGATATTCTCGTCCATTTAAATTGCACCACTTTGGTATTAGGTTTGTATATTTAATTTTCTACCATCACACATTATAGTAGTAATAATACTGTACTATATTTAACGTGTGTGTGGTCACTACATTACATTATATAATATATTTATATGATATTAAACTCAAATATAATTGTTTTTTAAAGTATCACCTTTATTGTAATAATTTTAATCGTGATTGCTTCAGCCATTATGGACTTGTTTAAAACAAGTAATTTAAAAATATTAAAACACAATGTGAATTTTGTAAAATTTAACAATTTCTATATTCATAGGTCATATATTATCAGATTTCTCTATTATGAAGCATACTATCAATCTGTTTAAAATCGATAAGCAAGGTGAAACGATTACATGCTTACATGGACTTCGTGTTATAGCTTCGTTATATGTAATGTTTAACCATTTTATTCACATTCAGATCGCGCATAATACATACGGTAATATAGCGATATAAATTTATCATGTATATTTTTTAATATTAAATAATTTTTAAAATTAATGTTAATTATATATATTTATATATAATTGAAAATATAAGTCAATAGCCTGGTCATTGGCAAGCAATTGGCCAAAATCGACTCGTTTCAGCAGATGATGAATATGCCAATTATGGTCCCGTTTTTCTTGATCAGCGGTTTTCTACAATCTTACGGATATATAAAGCGGTCGAATGCGGACAAGTCGTCGGCTATTGATTACTTCATTCCCGTCCGAAATATTGTCAACCGCTTCGTACGCCTCACCCCATCAATAGCAGCAGCCATTGGTGTCGCCATTTTGTTAACTGTAATGGCGTCCGGACCTAAATGGTATTGGTTTGCGGATTTAGTCGAGAACACTTGTAATTCAAATTGGTGGATTACCATATTTAGTTTAAACTGTAAAATTACTGAAAGGGTAATTAATTAATATTAAAATATTATTTAGATATGTTGATTTTTATATCTGTAGCATTATGTTGCCTACTATATTTCTATATTTTCTAGTGTTTACAATCAACCTGGTCACTTGTATTGGACTGGCAATTCTTTCTGATATCACCACTTCTTATCAAACTTTTCCTATCTAAGAGCTCAAGGTATTTTAAATAAAATATTTTAATAAATAGACATGTGAATTACATTTATACGGATGATACCAGACAAATATTAGTTTATTTTTCGCAGCATTTAAGCTTTTCTTTCTTACGACTCAATATTAAAATCTTTTAAGTTATTAATAGTTAGACTTTATTGTACTGCATTATAACTTACTAGTAATTTATGAGTTTTGCATGAATAACTTATAATACAATAAAGTCTAATTATTAATAATTTAAAAGATTTTAATATTGAGTCGTAAGCAAGAAAAGCTTGAAACTGCGAAAAATAAACTAATATTTGTCTGGTATCATCCGTATAAATTTTATTCATGTACTAAATATATTAATGTTTTGTATCAATAAAATGTATAATATATTTTACAGAATTCAATTACTTGGAGTTTTGGTTAATTTGATTGCAATTATAACATGTTGTTTACTGATTGGCACAACAATTGTGCAATACAATATCCCGTTTATTACAATTAGACACAAGTATTAAATTAAATTTACTAAATATATATAACATTTAAATTAATATAATTTATTTTATATAGGGGAAATTTATTTCGGAATTTGGTATTTGTTAAGCCATTTACACATTTACCATTTTATTGTGTCGGGATTCTATTTGCTTATGTCTACTGTAAATATCGTCAATATCTTGATATAAAATCGGTATAAAACTAATTTAGCAATACAAATAATTTTAAATATATTGACTAATTTTAAATTTATCTATCAGAAATTAAATTCACTACTGTTTAAACTGATGGTGTCGGCGCTAATAATTATGTTATTAATTAACATCTGTTATATTAACGGGATGCCCAATGACAATTTGGTCAGTGTCCTATACGTTTCAATTTATAGCACATTATACGCGATATGTTTGGGTTACATTGTATTAGCATGTGCATCTGGTGGGGCACCTATGTTAAATAAAATTTTGTCAGCATCAATTTGGCATCCACTAAGTAAATTATCGTACCAGGCATTTTTATATCAATTTATATTGATCCATTATCCGGTATTAACTATACGTCAAAACACTTATGCATCACCAATGTCACTTGTAAGTATAGTATATTATAAACAATGTAATTTGGTAATATATAGATTAATCTTTTAAATTTAAATTTAAATTTAATTTTTATTTAGATTTCGGATTTTATGTTTACGGTTACCATGGTATACATTACTTCGTATTTCACGTATGTCTTGATTGAAATGCCATTTATTGGGTTATATCGACGATTTGGTCGCAAGATTAATTAAATTACATTATTATTAATTGAATGTTTGTCATATAAATTAAAATTAATATATTAGAACAGGATTAAACTGGTTTTATATTATTATTATCAATAATAATTTGTTCTTATTAAATGATTAATATAAATTTAACACCAAAATTATATTTCTATTTAGTTTAGGCTTAAACATTGATATTTGTTGTTAGCAAAATAATATTTATTTCAGTTATATCTTTATTTAAATAAAATGTCAAACCTTTTATAAGATAATATTAAAGTTAATATCATTAATTAAACTCTAAATTAATAAAACTTGATTTTTAATTGAATCCTTTTAGCATTTTAATTAATTTTCAAAACTTAATTGTTGTTAATTACTATTTATCCAAAATTAATCTACTGTAGTTAAAACCCAAATCAATATTGCTTAATCAATGCCCGCCGCCATCGGATGCCAACCTACTGGCCGTGAGGTAAGTACACTCGTCTGACGCCATAAATAGTATGGCGTTTGCGATATCAAGCGGTTCCCCCACCCGTCTCAATGGCATCGATTGAATCGATTTTTGTTGTATAGCCTCATACTGTTCCCGTGATAAACCAGCAGCCAGGCCAAAATTAGATCGCACAACGCCCGGGCTAAAATTGGTTAACATTATAATATTTCGAATCAACATTCATAGTTGAATAATATGGATATTTTTAAAATCATTTTTGCTATACTATTACTTACCTAATTATGTTTACACGGATACCCATGGGTGCTAGCTCCAAAGCCATACAGTTAGTTAACATATCCATAGCACTTTTAGACATGGCGTACATTGGCGACTTTGCTACCTTGTTAATTTAATAAGCACTCATATAATGAAAAGTGACATGATCATTTATTAATTTCTATACATACGGGTCGAGTGGCCACGAGAGACGATATGTTAATTATATTACCCCTAGTCTTAGCCAAATGGTCGACCGATAAGTGAGACAAATATAGGGCTGACCTTAGGTTTGTGTCCATAAAATACTCATATTTCTGAATAATATTAGCGTTGTTTATGGATGTCATGCCCCCACTGCCGGCATTATTGACCAATATATCTAACTTTCCAAACGCCTCGACTGTTGTTTCAATGAGTCGTTTGCAGTCATTAGGTTTACTGATGTCCGCCACCACTTGTAAAGGTGTCGACCCCTTAGGCGATACACTGCGACACTGTTCGGCTACCGCTGCCAACGCCTCACCATTACGGCCAGTGATCACCACTCGAGCGCCGCGTTTAGCAAACTCTACGACAGCCTCGGCTCCGATGCCCGAACTCGAGCCCGTGATTAACACTACCTTTCCCTCGAAATCATGATTTTTAAACATTGTTTTAATTAATCAATTTTTAAATATTATTAAACTACTTTATATTTTAAAAAACATTCTACTAAATTATTTAAAAGAATTATTTATGATAACCTACGCAAAAAGTATTTCAGACTAGACGAGGTCATTTAGGCTAATGATAATGCACTTTTTTTTATATAAAATGCATTGTAATTACATTTAGGTGCTGTGTATTAATACAGTATATTATATTCTAATATCTTTATATTGTATAATAATATATTGTAAGTTATACAAATAATCAGTATAGACTTAATAAAACTTAAAAACCTACCAAGGGAAATAATGCAATCTTCAGAGCTTTTTGTGGGTAAAGTAGTGCTGATAACGGGCTCCACCTCTGGTATTGGTGCCGGTGCTGCCATTGAGTTTGCTAGACATGGGGCTCAAGTGGTGATCACCGGTCGAAATATTGCAAACATGTCTAAAATATCTTCCCAGTGCATTAAGATAAGTGATCAGGGTCTTAAACCTTTGGAAATTCAGGCAGATATAAGTAAACTTTGTGATTGTAAAGTGGTAGTTTCTAAGACAATTGCCAAGTTTGGTAGGTTGGACATTTTGGTAAACAATGTGGGTCGTAGCATAAGGTGTCCCATAAGTAGCCCCGACATTTTGGACACCTATCAACAGGTCATGGATCTCAATCTAAGGTCAGCCTTATATGTGACACATTTGGCTATTGATTATTTGGCAAAGACAAAAGGTTGCATTATTAATACATCTAGCACAGGTAGTCTAAGACCGGTAAGATTTAATAATTTTATCAATTTGAATAAGCTTTAAATGTTATAATTGAGCCTTTGTTATTCTGAATAATTGTTATTATATTATAGCAAGGTGAAACATTCCTGTATAGAATGTCCAAAAATGCCCTGGATATGTTTACAAAGTGTTTGTCAATGGAGGTTGCACCATTGGGAATTCGCGTTAATGCTATTAAGTAAATAATATTAAGATTTATATAAATTTATATACTAAACTAAATTAAAATTATTATTCAGCCCTGGTATTGTTCGTACTAATCTCCTTGATAATCTTGGTTTCAATCAAAAACAAAAGGATCAAGCTTACGCAAACTTTGCAAAGAAAATACCATTGGGCCGGGTTGGTGAACCCAATGACCTTGCTAATGCTATAATATATTTGGCATCAAATGAAGCTTCTCATGTAACAGGTGCAATGTTGGTAATTGCTGGTGGTCCAGGATAACTTTAACTTAACGTCTAAACATGAGAAAGATTTATTTGTCATATAATAATATATTGTTACAATTTTAATCAAAAGTTATTGTTTTACATAAATTATAATAAATTAATCAAGATTATAAATAAAATAAAATTTTCTTTTTATTCATTCATACTCTATGAATATACTGTATGTTAATTTTAATTGTATAATTGTCCACCGTCACATAATAAACTTGATCCATTTATAAATATTGAATCATCACTAGCCAAATATAGTATACAGTTAGCCATGTCAATCGGATATCCTACCCGTCCCAACGGAATTCTCGAAAGTAATTGCTTTGAAATTATATCACCTTGGTCTCTCACCGTGCCTTGGCTATTCAAAGAAAATAAAATCTAAATTTATAAATCTAGCTTAGATAAATATCTAATAATGACCTACTTGATTGAATTAATTTTAATTTCCTTGTTTGCTAATTCAAGACTTACACATTTCACAAACATATCCAGGGCACATTTCGACATATTAAACATGGTCCCGCCAATGCGCTAAATATATAAAAATCGGTAAAAAAAATATTTACAAATTCTGTAGTTTTATACTAAAGATTCTTTTCAACTCTGCTTTTATATGTCTTTTATATTTTTAAAAAGTATTTTACAGTCATATGAAAGCAAAGTTAAGTGATTTCATTCATATAATGCTAATTATGTAGATTTTTATACTAACCGGCCGTAAACTAGCAAACCCTGAGAGTAGGACAATATTACCGCCGGTTTTAGCTAAATGTTGGGCACATAAATGGGTCAACAGTACGACTGAACGCATGTTTGTGTCCATAATGTGATGATATTTTGTGACAATATTTTCATCACTAATGTTTGCATTTGACCATAAATTAGCGCAATTTACAAAATGGTTTAATTTCTTAAATTTGTTTATTGTTGACTCAAGTAGTTTGCGACATTCATCCGGGTCAGTCAAATCGGCCACAAATATATGTGGTGTTAACTCTTATATCATATTAAAACAAATTGGATTAGTCTATTTAAATTATATTTAACAATTATGTTTATGTATAATATTATGTAAATCATGTCTGTCAATGCAAAATTGTAATAGATGTTAATGATTGACTTTACCTAACGGGGATACATCTGTACACCTTTGAGCCACCTTGGTGATTGAACTGGCATTTCGCCCGGTAATCACCAATTGAGACCCTTTTCGGCTGAATTCGATCGCTGTTTGCGAACCTATTCTACCGCTCGCACCGGTAATCAACACCACTTTATCGACAAATTCTTTAACAGATTTCATGTTTAATAAATAAATATTAAAAATATTTTCAAAATTGAATTTTCAATAAGTGCCTTAAGAATTACTAATCAGAATCCCGATAGCAACAGGCTATTTTAAAATAATATTTTATCTCAAGTTATTATACAGTATAGAATGACTTGCTTCAGACAAATTCGTGTCTAGGCACAAATAAAAAAATTCAAATAAACAGTTTCTATGCAATTATTTGCAAACTAATTCACGATTAATGTAATAAAAATTAAAATATTACTCATTATAAAATACATATTTAAAGAAATAGTTTATAAAGTATATCTAGCGTATATTTAATAAATAGATATTGTTTTGTCCATTTAATTTATATTCAGAAAATGGACATAACTCAAACTATACGAGCCCAATTATATCCAAAGCAACTAAATACTGGTCATGTCAAATACGCCTTGGACTACCAGCCCCGTGAGTGCGACCGTATTTTGATGGCGTACCCCAAATGTGGCACCAATTGGTGCCGGTATACCATATTAGCGATTATGGGTTTCGGTCACATTCCGGATCATTTCAAATCAAGCAATAGGCGGACATTTTTAGAGACACTGGGCTCCGGTGTGTTGGCGCCCCGGGAGGGTCTGGACTCAGTAGCAAACTTTTTTCACACCCACACCCGGAAACTATTGTCCCATAAATCGGAGGCCAAGTATTTAATAGTATTGCGAAATCCAAAAGACGTTTCCGTTTCCCTCTATTACTACACGAAAAGTAACTATAGATTGGAAATGGATTTTCACGAGTTTTTTAAGATATGGATCAACGGTAATGGTATGCCTTATGGCGACTACTTTGAAGCCATGAGAACCTATTGGGAGCACCGGGAGGACAGCAACTGTACTGTCATTACATATGAGGAGATGTTAGCGAATCCGAGGGACAGTATTGTGAGAATCGCCTCATTCTTGGGACACAAATATGTGGACCGACTGTACGACCGGTGCGATGGTGATGACGGCACCGGTATTAGTGGTGACACACTATTGGATCGCGTAATGAGAATGATTGGTTTCAACGAAATGAAGTCTAATATGCAATCAATGCCCACTGTTTTCCGGAAAGGTATGGCCGGCGACTGGAAATCCCATTTAACTAGAGATGAGAGCGATTTAATTGATCAGAAGGTTAGGGACGAGTGGATGGGAACGGGTTTAGAGTCACTGTGGGAACAGGAGATACAGCGGTCACTGTATGTTTAGACCTAAAGTTAATCAATGTTAAATGTATTACTTTATTTAAGCTAAATTTTTTTATCAAGTTAGCTTAATAATTATATATTAGATAATATTTTGTTAATAAGTAACTTTGGAATTGAACATTTTTATATTTATATTTTTAAAAGCCTTAATTTAACAATGTTATGCACTAATTAATTGATTAAATAATGTAGTTGTTATTACTGTATTTGCCATATGTTGAAATATTATTTTTCATAATGCAAACATATTTTAACCTGTAGAAAATAATGTAGGTTTAAATATTCTAAACATATTTTAATAAAATAATCTATTATTCTGGATAAACTACATTAAAATTCTTATTTTATACACTATATTAACATATGGTAAAATTTAATAAGGCTTATTTTTAAATTGTTTCTCGATACGGAAAGTTGGGAATGCTAGTTTAATTTGTATGTTCATAAACTTAATTATGTCATTAATAAATGTGTATGGTCAAAAAGTGCGATTGCGGGCGATAAGTTGGTCATTTTAGGGTCATTAAGTTGGCTGACATGGTCATTTTTGTATGAATTAACGTTATTTGAATAGACGATATGTACTAAAAGTTTGGACGGCACTCAACCGTATAGTGCGCACTCAATGTGCGGCAATTTTTTTCGGAAAATGTATACATATAATGTAGTCATATAAAGTGCTATTCAAAAATGACCATGTCAGCCAACTTAATGACCCTAAAATGACCAACTTATCGCCCGCAATCGCACTTTTTGACCATGCGCATTTATTAATGACATAATTAAGTTTATGAACATACAAATTAAACTAGCATTCCCAACTTTCCGTATCGAGAAATTCCTTC